TATGAGCTAGTCCAGGCATTTTTCCTGTTCACCTGGGTGTTAGTCGACTAGTGTGGGTCGCATCCTGGGGGACAAGATTAAGGACCCCAATGGAAATAAGTTAGTCCTCGATGACGCACTGACTTTCTTGGGTTATCCTGGGTGGCTAACCCTCTGGGGTTAATTGTTTCTCGTTAAGCCACACCAACAACAGTCTCTCCACATCTTCGAGTAGTACAGCTCACTGTGGTGCAGCAGCAGCTGACGGTGGTGCAGCAACAGCTGACGGTGGTGCAGCAGCAGCTGACCATGGTACGGCAGCAGCAGCAGCAGCTGACTGTGGTATAGCAGCAGCTGATGGTGGTGCAGCAACAGCTGCAGGAGGTGCAGCAGCAGCTGACCATGGTACAGCAGCAGCAGCAGCAGCAGCAGCTGACTGTGGTACAGCAGCAGCTGACAGTGGTGCAGCAACAGCTGATGGTGGTGCAGCAGCAGCTGACCATGGTACAGCAGCAGCAGCAGCTGACCATGGTGCAGCAGCAGCTGACGGTGGTGCAGCAGCAGCTGACCATGGTACGATAGTATTTCGATAGTATTTCTCACCCTTTTTACCACAGGGTTGGCACTAGAAGCTTTCTTTGGTCCCATGGTGGCTTATTTAGCAGTTACAAGCACTAAAAAACAATGGAATACAAAATTTATCGAATGTATGTGTGCAACCATCCGCCCTGGCTTGTAAACAATACACACTAGCTGAGATGAGGCGCTTTGGCCAGACGGATGCGTTTGAGACGAATGATGTAAGTCGAATTTTTCTTCGTAGGTCGGGGAAATTTTTTTACACTGAAACACTTTGTAAGTCGATTTTATTGTTAGATGATGCCTTCGTTAGTTGAGGGTTCACTGTATACTGGTGTATAGTACTTTATTATTTATATTTTCTCAGCTCTTTTATGATGATCGCTGCCAAAAAAAGGGAAAACAAAACCTTGAGTTCAAGAAGTTATCAAGAAAGAAATATCTTTCTTTGAAACCCACCAAGAAACTCAAGTACATAAAGACTGCAGCTGTTGAGTTATACACTTATGAGGTAAGCAGTCATTAATTCTTATATCAATTTATTACTTCCCACTTACTTCTACAATGTGTAAAAATTAAATCAGATCAAATCTTAATTCATAAAAAAATTACAATCTTGGTTGTGACACAGAGGTGTATTTTACATGTTCTTGTTTCAAGCAAGACTTAAGCAAGTACAGGAAATTAGTTAAAGACATTATAACTGCTGAACTTTACAGCATTTATAAGGTAATATTTATTTTAATAATAATAATATTAATAATAAATATTAATGAATGTGAAATGAAAACCTGTAACTGTTTTACATGATGGTAGGAGTGCTGGTACTTTATCTTTTTTTTTTTTTTGTCTCAAAATAGGATGACTTGGAGGGTGTATAAATCTGTAGTGGAGGGGAGGAGGGGTAGGGGTCATCCTAGGAAAGGATGGAGGGAGGGGGGGTGAAGGAGGTTTTGTGTGCAAGGGGCTTGGACATACATCAGGCATGCATGAACGTGTGTTAGATAGGAGTGAATGGAGATAAATGGTTTTTGGGACTTTTCAAGCTGTTGGAGTGTGAGCAGGGAAATATTTTGTGAAGGGATTCAGGGAAACCAGTTAGCTGGACTTGAGTCCTGGAAGTGGGAAGTACAATGCCTGCACTTTAACCCCTTAACTGTCCAAACATAGATCTACTTTCTCTCGTCCAGTGCTTCAGATAGTATTTTGATTTTTTTTTTTTTTAAATAAAGAGGACTTTTTTTACATGAAGTAATAAAAAAAAATTAATAGTCAATACTTACGGAGATATAAGGCCACAATGTCGGTGCTTGTTGCTCACTTGACGGCAACATGAAGCGCTGCTGCTTGCAGAAGTGTTGTCAATATATCTTTTTTTCCCTCATTTTTTTAATTTATATAATTTTTATGTTCTGATAATTACAATTTGTAGTAGTTCTTGTGATTTCATAGCCAATATTTGTTCTGACACTAATATTAGGTACTGAAATGGTACTCAGATAGTCACAAACACAGTCACAGGAGAACATTTTCACTTACCTTAGTCATACTATTGTCTAGAAATATAGACATAGTATTTATAGGTCCCAGCAATGTTTTGGACATGTGGGTGTAAGACGAATGCCACTCCACTGTTGACAGTGCAGCAGTGGAGTGACATTTGATGATCGTGCACTGCTTTGGCTTTATTTGTTTTCACTGTTACACATAAACATGTCTGTCTGTCTATCTCTCTCTGTCTGTCTATCTGTCTGTCCGTCTGTCTGTTTGTCTAGCTATCTGTGTATCTCTGTCTCTGCTTATATGTCTGCTTGTCTCTCTCTGTCTCAGAGAGAACGACTCATGACCAACAGGTATTACACACGATGCAGAGTAGTCACATCTGATTCCTGAACAGGTGAAAATGCGTATTACTTGCCAGTCATGTTTATTGTGCATTATATCTACAAGCACAGTATAGCACTTTGTCTGGATTTTTGGGTTATCCTAGGTAATTTACACTATGTTTAATTGTACTTACATGTACCTGTAAGATAGAGACAGACATAGACAGAGATAGACAGAGACAGACAGAGATAGAGATAGATACAGACAGACATAGATAGAGACAGCCAGTCAGCCAGCATGGTGTAAGACGAGTGTCACACCATTGCTGACACTGCAGCAGTGGAGTGACATTTGATGATCGTGCACTGCCTTGGCTTTATTTGTTTTCACTATTACACATAAACATTGCCTGTCTGTTTGTCCATCTGTTTTTCCATATGTCTGTCTGTCTAGCTCTCTGTTTAGCTCTGTCTCTACTTATCTGTCTTTCTCTCTGCTTGTCTCTCTGTCTCAGAGAGAGCGACTCGTGAAGCAACGGGTACAGTGGACCCTCGTTTTTCGTAATTAATCTTTTCCAAAAAGTGTGACTATTTCCGAAATTGACAATTTGCGAAACCATTTTCCCCATAAGAAATAATGTAAATACAATTAATCTGTTCCAGACACCCAGAGGTATTAAAACAAAAATTTTTTTACATGAAATATAGATGTACATACACAAAACAATGGGACATGATGAATGAAACATTAACAGCATAACACTTACCTTTATTGGCAATTCTTCTTAGTGTATGGAAGACTGGAGGAGGAGAGAGATTGGATTATTTACTGTTTGGAAGGGTAATCCCCTTCCATAAAGATTTCAGGTACCAAGCCCTTTTCTGGGGTTACTTCTCTTCTTTGTTTTTTAATGCCACTAGGACCAGCTTGAGAGTCACTGGAGCCCTGTCGCTGAAAAAACTGTCCAGAGAGCATCTCTAAAACTTCCATAAAATGGGCCAAGACTTTGTCACTGTACATGTTGCCGACATGGCTTGCAACAGCCTTGTCAGGGTGATGTTTCTCCATAAATCTTTCCATCCTACTCCATATTTCAAAAATCTCCTTAATTTCTGAAGAAGGCAACTTCTTCCATCTCTCTTCCTCCTCCTCTAAATCAATATTCTGAGCTGCGGTCTGTTGCTATTCCAGCTGAAGCTCTTGCAGCTCGTCAGTGGTTAGCTCTTTGTTGTGGTCCTCCACCAACTCTTCCACATCCTCCAAACTCACATCCAACCCCATGGAACTCCCCAATGCCACAATAGATTCCACAACTGCCATTGGCTTGTCAGGGTCAGCCCCAAACCCTTCAAAATCTCTCTTATGGACACAATCTGGCCACAATTTTCTCCAAACAGAGTTCAAAGTCCTAGTAGTCACTCCCTCCCAAGCCTTACCTATAAGGCTTATGCAGTGGAGGATACTGAAGTGATCTTTCCAAAACTCTCTTAGGGTCAAGGGAGTGTCTGAGATCACATTAAAGCACCTTTGAAACATTGCTTTGGTGTAGAGTTTTTTAAAGTTTGCAATGATCTGCTGGTCCATGGGCTGAAGGAGAGGAGTGGTATTAGGGGGCAAGAACTTTACTGTGATAAGTCAAACTCCTCCAGAATTAGGTCATCCAAGTTTGGAGGATGAGCAGGTGCATTGTCCATTAGCAGGAGGCACTTGAGATCCAATTTATTTTCCAGGAGGTAATTCTTTACTCTGGGGCCAAACACATCAATGAACCACTTGAGGAAAATTTCCCTCGTGACCCATGCCTTATTATTAGCTCTCCAAAACACACAATTTACTCTCCATGACATTGTTTTTCTTGAATGCTCTGGGATTTTCAGAGTGGTGCACTAGTAACGGCTTCACTTTGAAGTCCCCACTAGCATTACTACAAAACATGAGTCAGCCTGTCTTTCATAGGCTTCTGTCCTGGCAGTGCCTTTTCCTCCTGAGTAATGTAGATCCTCTGGTATTTTCTTGCAAAAGAGGCCTGTTTCGTTACAATTGAACACTTGTTGGAGTTTTAATTGTTCAATCTGTATGTACCCCATCAATTCACTTACGAATTTTGTAGCTGCATTTTTGTCAGAACTGGCAACCTCGCCATGCCTTATCACACTGTGTATGCCACTACGGTTCTTAAATCTCTCAAACTAGCCTTTGCTGGCCTTAAATTCACAAATATCAATACTCGTTGCAGGCAATTTCTTTACGAGATTGTCATGCAACTGCCTAGCCTTTTCACAAATAAGCTAATTGTTTCTCATTGATCCACACCAACAATAACTTCTCAACATCTTCGAGTACTGGTGATCTCATTTTTGTCAGCATATTTACCCCCTTTGCAACAACAGCTTTCTTGATTTCCTTTTTTTGGCCCACGTGGAAGCTATTTTTGTATGGGGTTTTTTTAATACCCCCGGGGCCAAAGTTCTGCCACACTTTCCCCTTTTTTTTCCCCATGTTTTTAAATTGATGTTTTTCTTGAATTAAAATCATATTTTTTCCCCTTTTTTTCCCAAAGGAAAGGCACAAGGAGCTTTTTTTGGGGAACCATAAATACCTTTTTTTAATGTTGCAAGCCCCAAATGAAAAAAATTTTGAAATATTCTTTATGAACATTTTAAAGGGGAAAGGGTCACTCGCTGGAAAACAATGCCAAAACTGGCGGGGGAAAGGGAGTGTAAAGGTTTGGTTTTGGGGCCCGTAAAAAACGCGTCCAGAAAAAAACTTTTTTTCCCAATTTCCAAAACGACATTCACAAGTCAAGGGTTTGACGAAAAAAACTTTAAAATTTCTAAAAATTATGACTGCCCAAAACCAAAACGAAAACGAGGGCCCTGTACAGGGGAAAAACCTAAAATTTTCAAACGAAATTCATTTAAACGGAACTTTTGGGAAAATCGACCACTTTTTTAAAACCCAAAATTTTGTCCTCTTTAATTGAACTCCCCCCCTTTTTTCCCCCCCACTGGCCCGGGCCCGGCCCTGCCCCCCCGCTCGGGTCTTTGTCCCCTTCCGGCCCGTGACCCAGCCCTGGCTTTGTTATGTTTTGAGTAACCAAACCTGCGGTCCCCCACTCAAACATTTTAAAATTTAAATTTTCATTGTTTTTTAATTTTTGGGGGCTTTTGAAAAAAGCTCCAGGGCCCAAAAGAAACCCCCCCTAGTGGAAACCCCCTTGGTAAAAAAACAGTGAGAAAACAATAGATTGAAGGGGATTTGGCGGGGAAATTTTGGAAAGGGTTTTGGGTGGAGGCCCAAAAGGGAAAAGACCCAAACCCACTAAAAGGGGCTGGAAGAGCTTCATGGGGGAAACCGAAACGCCCCCACAGCTCGGGGAAATTGCTTCAGAGGAAGGGGAAGGGGGATGGATGAGGTGCCTTCTTCAAAGATTAAGGAGGTTTGTCCCAAAAGGGGGAATAAAGCCCCAAATGTTTGTGGGGAAAGTCCCAAACCCGACAAGCTGAAACAAGCTATTTTGGGCAACAAGTTCAGTGAAAAAACCCAAATTTTTCCCCAATTTTCAGGTATATTTTAAAAGAGGTGCCAGAAAAAAAGGGGGATTTGTGGACTTTTTTTTTTGTGGGACAGGGGTCCGTGCTCTCAATCTGGTCCTAGTGGAATTTAAAAGCCCAAGAAAGGGGA